AGCAGAGATCAATGAGTTAGAAACCAGAGATATAGTAGAACGTATCAAGGAAACTAGAAGCTGGTTTTTTGAAAGAATCAATAAGATCGATAAACCATTGGCCACACTAATTCAAAAGAAAAGAGAGAAAGCCCAAATTAATAAAATTATGAAGGAAAGGGGAGAGATCAAAATTAACACCAAGGAAATAGAAAAAATCATCAGAAGTTATTATCAATGGTTATATGCCAATAAGCTAAGCAACCTAGATGAAATGGATGCATTCCTGGAAAACTATAAACTCCCAAAATTGAACAAGGAAGAAATGGACAACCTGAATAGACAATAAACCGTGAAAAGAACCAAGATGACCTTCAACAGATGAATGGATAAGGAAGATGTGGTCCATATACACTATGGAGTTATTATGCCTCCATCAGAAAGGATGAATACCCAACTTTTGTAGCAACATGGATGGGACGGAAGAGATTATGCTGAGTGAAATAAGTCAAGCAGAGAGAGTCAATTATCATATGGTTTCACTTACTTGTGGAACATAACAAACAGCATGGAGGAAAAGGGGAGTTAGAGAGGAGAAGGGAGTTGAGGGAAATTGGAAGGGGAGGTGAACCATGAGAGACTATGGACTCTGGAAAACAATCTGAGTGTTTTGAAGGGGGGGGGGGGGGGGTTGAGGGAACCAGGTGGTGGGTGGGTTGGAGAGGACCCAGATTGTATGGAGCACTGGCGTGGTGCAAAAACTATGAATACCGTTATGTTGAAAGTAAATTTAAAAATTAAAAAAAAAAAAACAATCTGAATGGTTTGAAGTGGTGGGGGGTGGGAGGTAGGGGGAGCCAGGTGGTGGGTATTAGAGAGGGCACGGATTGCATGGAGCACTGGGTGTGGTGCAAAAACAATGAATACTGTTACGCTGAAAAGAAATTTAAAAAATAAAGAATTATGTAGTTTCCTTCTCTAACTCTGACTACAGTCTTTAGTTTAAAATCTAATTTATCTGATATGAGAATCGCTACCCCGGCATTCTTTTGAGGCCCATTTGCATCAAAAATTCTTCTCCATCCCTTCACTTTCAGTCTGGGTGTATCCTTAGGTACAAAATTGGTCTATTGAAAGAGGACCCTCCTACACTGTTGTTGGGAGTGCAAGCTGGTGCAACCACTCTGGAAAACAGCATGGAGGTTCCTCAAAAAGTTGAAAATACAGCTACCCTATGACCCAGCAATCACAATACTGGGTATTTACCCTAAAGATACAAATGTAGTGATCTGAAAGGGCACGTGCACCTGAATATTTATAGCAGCAATGTCCACAATAGCCAAACTATGGAAAGAACCTAGATGTCCATCAACAGATGAATGGATAAAGAATATGTGATGTATATATACAATGGAATACTCTTCAGCCATCAAAAGAAATGAAATCTTGCCATTTGCGATGATGTTGATGGAACTAGACAGTATTAAGCTTAGCAAAATAAGTCATCAGAGAAAAACAGCTATCATATAATCTCCATGATATGAGGAAGGGGAGATGCAATGTGGGGGGGTTGGGGGTAGGAAAAGAATAAATGAAACAAGATGGGATCGGGAGGAAGACAAACCATAAGAGACTCTTAATGTCACAAAAGAAACTGAGGGTTGCCAGGAGGAGGGGGTAGGGAGAGGGTAGTGGGGTTATGGACATTGGGGAAGGTATGTGCTATCATGATTGCTGTGAAATGTGTAAACCTGGTGAATCACAGACCTGTACCACTGGGGCTAATAACACATTATATGTTAATACAAAAATTTTTAAAAATTATATTAAAAAAAAAAGAAAGAAATGGCCTGTGCAGAGACACCCTGATCTCCTCTGTCTTCCTGAAAGCTGGACATGAGTCTCCCATGGGAAAGGCACCCTCCCTGGACCAGAATGAGACAGGCGTCCTTAGCACCAGAAATGGAAGTTTAAGGTCCAGAAGACTGTACAAACACACTTTACTTCCACACTAACTTGAATTTGTTTGTTTATGTTTCCAGAACGGAAGTGCCACACACGAAAAGCCAGAGTGGAGGAGATGAGTCTGCTTCTGGTTTGGGTGAAATATCTCCTTACAAGAGCTTGATGTTGTGTGTAGAGGGTCCCTGTGGATCTCCTTCAAGGTCAGCAGTGCTGCTGGGGACTGGGAGCACTCTGGTGACAGCAACAGTGTGCCATCCTTCAGCCTGTACTCAGGGACATGGACAATTGGACCACACAAAGTACACCAGTATAGGCAGGACATGTGTCCCCCAGGCCTGGGAGTCTGGGCACTGGGCTCATGACCAGCAAGAGGAGGCCTGAAAATTTCAGGATTCTAGGCTGTGCTCGCTGCTGCTGGCATAGTGTGGACACCAGCAGGTGTGAGCCTGGTCCTGTGGCTGAGACAGTCTGGAACAGTCATCCCCTGACCATCATTGGACTGTAGCTGGGAGCCCTGGTGACCCCATGCCTGTGGGGGAAGATGACCTGCAGTGCCAAGTCAGCTGAATCAGAGGACACTGTTCCAGATCACCTGTTAAGTGGGGCAGCAGAGGGACAGGCGAGGGGATCAGCTCTCTCCAAGACCTGCCTCGGTTCCATAGGACCACTCATCACTAGGACTGCTCTGGTTCTGTCTATTCATGGGGCTCGATTCTGCTTGTCATCTCCACTCCTGACACCTGCCCCTTGGATCTCAGGCAGCACTTTCACCCAGATCTGTGTTTCTGCCAGAGACTTCATAGATATTCCTGGATGGACTAAGACTAGGGACGGGGTATTGGTCAAGATGACTAGGAACCAAGGAACAGATCTGTGGCCCAGGATGGAGAATCCAAGACTTGGTCAGGAAACGGTAGGGACCCAGTCTTCAAGCTGATGTCACTCTTGTCCCTGAGCATGCCTACAATCTCCTCCTAGATAGATATGTGTCCTGCAGCCCCTCAGTGGTGACCTGGTGTGCTGGTCCTGTGTGGGGAGAGGAATTATAATTTCTAATGGCAAACCCCTGTGAGCCAGAAGGACTGGGTGTAAGATGTGACCTTCAGAGTTTGCTCCAGAGGTTACCTCTCATTCCTTAAGCACAAGACAGCCCAATGAGAAAACTGTGTCCTGTTGCAGGTGCAGAGTGGGGTGCAGGATTGGCAGCATCCTTGCCCCCCTGAATGCACTGCAACATGAGGTCCTAGATCGTATCTGAGGGGCTGTGGCTTACCTGAGGGGTCAAGGATGTCCCATCCACTGTGTCTGCTGGAATCTGTGGGTGTTCAGAGAATCAGGAATGTGACTTCCTTCTTTTGGCTCACCCTATCACCTCAGGGCAAACTATAAATGGGGACCTTGACATTGTTAATTATGTAAAGGACTTGCTAATATTAAAGAACAAATGCCCAGAGAAGATGAGATGAATATGGAAGGGATAAAGTATACAAGGAAAGCAGGAAATAGTTGTAAATTATATCAGGAGACAATGTGAACCTGGTCATTTATAACCTTATGAGAATCTGTTCTCTACAAACATATATGTGTTTACATGTCATACGTGAGAGACAGAAGCAGAGGAGCAGGACAGAAAGAGGGAATGTGCAACAGAGAAAAATGACTTTCCTGTAATAAATTCATAATTCATAAAGTCTTCAGAGCACCTGGAGGGTCCTCTCTGTAAGGTCCACATTGATGTAGAAATCAAGGTGAAAACCAAGATGCTCCACACACTGCCCCTAAGCCCATGTCCAGCTTCCCTGTCATCCTCCTCCTTCCCATCAGGAATTGGGCTCTGGTTGGTGGTGGGTGGGCCCTGGTGCTAGGACCCCTGAAGGTGCCTGTGTATTAGGGTCTCCATGTCTCAGATTGTGTGGAAAAGGAACACCAGAGCTTCTCTTCCCAGCTCATATTAATGGGTTCCTCCCTAGAGCCATCTGTGCTCAGGGTGGGGAATGGACCATGTGGGTTGAATTTTAGGTGCGTTTTTGTTTGTTTGAATTCAGTTAACAACACATAATACCTCATTAGACTCAGATGTCGTGGTCAATAATGCCTCAGTTGTATATACAGATTTCTGTTCCATGGATGCAACTAGAAGGTATTACGCTGAGTGAAATAAGTCAATCAAAGAAAGACAATTATCATATGTTTCAAGCATATGTGGAATATAAGAAGTAGAGGATCATAGGGGAAGGCAGGGGAAGCTGGATGGGATGTCCTGAGACAGGAAGACAAACCATGAGATACACTGAACTATAGGAAACAAACTGAGGGTTATGGAAGGGAAGTGGGTGGGGGCAATGGGGTAACTGGGTGGTGGGCATTGAGGAGGTCACATGATGTGATGAGCACTGGATCTTGTACCCAATGATGAATTACTGAACACTACATCTGAAACTAATAATGTACTTTACTTGGCTAATTGAATTTAAATAAATTTTTTTAAAAAAAGAAAAGAATATCCACATAACACCCAATCTTTCTGCCTTGCCCTCCACACGGAGGAGCTTGTTTCCTTATGTAAATGCTGGAGTATAGTTCCAAACATCCCTTTTGTAGATGGAGACTGGAGATCGCATCCACTGCCATCATCTGGGACCCCATATCTGATTTGTGGGAGCAAATGACCCAAACTGGGCAGTCAGGGTCTGGAGTCTGGACAACTGCCTGTCTTCCAGGTTTGTGAACAGGTAATTCTGCAGGTTGAACTTGCAGCCCACTGTTGGACAGCCTGGCAATGGAATATAAGAGAACATTCATAAGGTTTCTAAACGTTCATAAGCTCCAGCCAAACCCTCTCAAGCAACTGGTGCTAGAGGACAGTTCAGGCCGGACTGGAGCCTAGATCGCTAGGACCAGGTTCAGTGGGCCCTCACACCACCAACATGGGGACACCAAGTACTGATGACTGTCACCAGGGTTCAGGATCTTTTAATGCCTCCCCTCCTCCGTGGGGACCCACATGCCAATCACCTGGGGTGCTCCCAGAAGAAATAGACATCACAGGCAGAGGTCAGCGTGCTGGGTCTCCATCCTGCAGGCAACCATGCAGCTGCTGTGGTCCCTCCTCTGCCTTCTGGCAGCTCCCCTGGGTGAGGATCTGGGGGCTCTGGGATAGACGGTAGCCTTTCTGTGGGGTGGGACAGACTCACCATGACTCTCCTTGTCCCCAGGTGTCCTATCTCAACTTACACTTCAGGAGTCAGGCCCAGGACTGGTGAAGCCCTCACAGACACTCTCTCTCACATGTGTTGTCTCCAGGGGCTCCGTCACCAGCAGTTACTATTGGAACTGGATCCGCCAGCGCCCTGGGAGAGCACTGGAGTGGATGGGCTACTGGACAGGTAGTACAAGCTACAACCCGGCTTTCCAGGGCCGCATCTCCATCACTGCTGACACATCCAAGAACCAGTTCTCCCTGCAGCTGAGTTCCGTGACCACCGAGGACACAGCCGTGTATTACTGTGCTAGAGGCACACTGAGGAGAAATCAGTGTGAGCCCAGACACAAACCTCCCTGCAGGGACACAGGAGGAGCGGGGCTGCAGGTGGCCCCAGAATCCACCAGGGGGTGTTCAGGACACCAAGGAGCTCTCAGATCACCAGGGGAAACTCAGATCACTTTCCGGAGCTCAAGAGACAAGGGGCGCTCAGGACAGAAGGGGTACTCAGGTCACCATGGGGTGCTCAAGACCCACCAATACATTTTCTGCACCAGAAGCAGGTGCAGGTGGAGATTAAATGCGTATTTCCTGGCACAGTTTGGGTCTTCCTTTCCATAAACCAGTTTCCCCAATGAGACTTTCTAGAATTATGACTTGTTCTTATTTCTTACATCTGTGAATAGAAACATTGCCTATAATAGGAGAAAACTGTATGTACATGCACAAAAGACAGGAAGTCACTTACACTTGATGAATCTTTTCCCTCAATGACAATTACGGACATTCTGATGTAAGTCTGCTAAGTCTGTAAAAGTTTCTGCTGGACTCAACAACACAGCATCACACAGCCCAGTGTACAGGCTGTGAGCCAGCATCATCAAGTTCATGCTGGACATCAGGTACAGGGCCACCATGAAGCCAAAGCCAGAGAAGAATGGCCCCAGTGTGGGGGGTCATAGTGTGGAGCACATGCTCACAGAATCTATTTAGCTGACACCATCCAGAGGCAGAGGACCTTAAACACGCTTGGTACAGTTGGTGAATCAGATGATACGATACACACAAGAGAATATGAAATGTTAATCACCTCCATCATCAAAGTGTCTGTTGATTTCATGCCTCCCAGCATGTCAAAAATGCTTCAATAAACCTTAGAAAGGACACAAAATCAGGGATTTTTAAAATTGTGATATTGTGAATTAGTGCTGGAAAATTCCATAGAGATCTGGAACATCAGGGGCACAGAATCTAGTCTTTCCTTGAGATTTCCCATGTATGGAGCACGAGAAGACGGAGGAATGAGGCTTCTGGTGCCAGTAAAAAATCATCAGAAGATACAGTGTCATGACTAATTCCATGCAACAACTACAAAAAGGAGTGAAAAGAAATATACATGATAAATAGGTGTAGAAGACCATCTGAGTCCCTTGAAAATATGAATGATAATATATAAGCAGACAATAATAAGAAGGCTATGAGTAGAGGACAAGGGTCTTACCCAGTGTCTCAGGTGAAAGCTGTCCATTTCTCAAGGTCACAAGCAAGTTCTGATGGTCTTGTGAACCCTGTGTGCACGCAAAGACTAGAAGCTTCAGCAGGATCCATGAGAATGCTCAGGCTGAAGTGCTGGTTGGGAGGAGTCTTCCACCTGCAGGCAATAACTAATTGATCCTTCAGTTACTGATATCAGCTCAATGTGTTGAATTTCTACCATCACTACATTGAAACCTAACATCAATTTAATGGAATGAGTGGGCGGGAACTTAGGGAAGCACTTAGGTCAGGAGTGTGCAGTCTCATAATGGGATTAGGGCTCTTATACACCAGGACTGGGAAATCTTCCCACCCCTTGGCCCCATGTGAGTTTACAGGGAAAGGATCGCCTAGGACGTGGGTTCTCTCCAGACACCAAATCTGCCTGCACCTTCACATGGCACTTCCCAGACTCCAGAACTGTGAGAAATTTGTGTCTAATGTTTAAAACCACCCAGTTTGTGTACATTGTTACACCAGCTGGAACACACGGAGACATTAGTGACGCATGAACCCACGTATTTTTTCTGGCATTTTCAGAGTTTGTGGCGATGGTAACTGATGGGATTTGAGTCTTACCATCATTTTACAGAGTTGTGTTATGCCTATTGCCATGAGCTGCGCAGTTCAGTCAGTGTACATAACGTTGTTACCCCGTGTCCCCAACATCAAACCCAGGTTGTAGGTTTCTGTGACTCACCATCTGATCATGAGGGTAGGTTCCCCCTTACATGCTCATTACTGGAAACCCTCAAGGCACACACATTACTTGTTTATATTTTATCGTGTTGTTTATATGCAATCCTTTTTTGTGCGTGTGATTTTTTTCTATTTCTTTTCAGCCTAACAGAATTCATTGTTTATGCACCACACCCAGTGCTCCATTGAATACGTGCCCTCCATAATACCCACCACCTGGCTCCCCCAATTTCCCACCCCCGCCTCTTCAAAACCCTTAGGATGTTTTTCATAGTCCATAGTTTCTCATGGTTCATCTCTCCTTCCAATTTCCCTCAACTCCCTTCTCCTCTCCATCTCCCCATGTCCTCCATGCTATTTGTTATGCTCCACAAACAAATGAAACCATATGATAATTGACTCTTTCTGCTTGACTTATTTCACTCAGCATAATCTCTTCTAGTCCCTCCCATGTTGATACAAAAGTTGGATGTTCATCCTTTCTGTTGGAGGCATAATACTGCATAGTGCATATGGACCACATCTTCCTTATCCATTCGTCCATTGAAGGGCATCATGGTTCTTTCCACAGTTTGGCGACCGTGGCCATTGCTGCTATAAACATTGGGATACAGATGGCCCTTCCTTTCACTACATCTGTATCTTTGGGTTAAATACCCAGTAGTACAATTGCAGGGTCAAGAGGGTGTATGGATGAGGCTTGAAGCAGGTGGCTTCTTTCTGCTCTTTCAGATCTTGCTCCAGATGGTGCTTCCAACTGCTGCCTTCAGAGCTGTCCATTATTAAAACCAGTGATTCCTTGAGGGATCTCCACACTGTTCTCCAAAGAGGCTGCACCAACTTGCTTTCCTACCAACAGTGAAAAAGGGTTCCCCTTTCTCCACATCCCCTCTAACACACGTTGTTTCCTGTCTTGCTAATTTGGGCCATTCTAACGGGTGTAAGGTGATATCTCAATGTGGTTTTAATTTGAACCTCCCTGATGGCTAGTGATGATGAACATTTTTTCATGTGTCTGATAGCCATTTGTATGTCTTCATTGGAGAAGGGTCTGTTCATATCTTCTGCCCATTTTTTGATATGATCGTCTGTTTTGTGTGTGTTGAGTTTGAGGAGTTCTTTATAGATCCTGGATATCAACCTTTTGTCTGTACTGTCATTTGCAAATATTTTCTCCCATTCCGTGGGTTGCCTCTTTGTTTTCTTGACTGTTTCCTTTGCTGTGCAGAAACTTTTGATTTTGATGAAGTCCCAAAAGTTCATTTTGGCTTTTGTTTCCTTTGCCTTTGGAGACATGTCTTGAAAGAAGTTGCTGTAGCTGATATCGAAGAGGTTACTGCCTATGTTCTCCTCTAGGATTCTGATGGATTCCTGTCTCACGTTGAGGTCTTTTATCCATTTTGAGTTTATCTTTGTGTACGGTGGAAGAGAATGGTCAAGTTTCATTCTTCTACATATAGCTTCCCAGTTTTCCCAGCACCATTTATTGTAGAGACTGTCTTTTTTCCACTGTATATTTTTTCCAGCTTTGTCGAACATTATTTAACCATAGAATTGAGGGTCCATATCTGGGCTCTCTACTCTGTTCCACTGTCTATGTGTCTGTTTTTATGCTACTACCAGGCTGTCTTGGTGATCACAGCTTTGTAGTAAAGCTTGAAATCAGGTAACGTGATGCCCCCAGTTTCACTTTTGTTTTTCAACATTTCCTTAGTGATTCGGGGTTTCTTCTGGTTCCATATAAATTTTTGGATTATTTGCCCCAGCTCTTCGAAGAATACTGGTGGAATTCTGATCAGAATGGCATTAAAAGTATAGATTGCTCTAGGCAGTATAGACATTTTAACAATGTTTATTCTTCCGATCCAATATCAGAATGGTCTTCCATCTTTTTGTGTCTTCCTCAATTTCTTTCATGAGTGTTCTGTAGTTCCTCGAGTACAGATCCTTTACCTCTTTGGTTAGGTTTATTCCCAGGTATCTTATGGTTCTTGGTGCTATAGTAAATGGAATTGATTCTCTATTTACCCCAAAGATACAGATGTAGTGAAAAGAAGGGCGATCCATACCCCAATGTTTATAGCAGCAATGGCCATGGTCGCCAAACTGTGGAAAGAACCAAGATGCCCTTCAATGCACGAATGGATAAGGAAGGTGTGGTACATATACACTATGGAGTATGATGCCTCCATCAGAAAGGATGAATACCCAACTTTTGTAGCAACATGGACAGGACTGGAAGAGATTATGCTGAGTGAAATAAGTCAAGCAGAGAGAGTCAATTATCATATGGTTTTACTTATTTGTGGAGCATAACAAATAGCATGGAGGACATGGGGAGTTAGGGGAAGGGAGTTGGGGGAAATTGGAAGGGGAGGTGAACAATGAGAGACTATGAACTCTGAAAAACAATCTGAAGGGTTTGAAGAGGTGGGGGGGTGGGAGGTTGTGGGAACCAGGTGGTGGGTATTAGAGAGGGCACAGAATGCATGGAGCACTGAGTGTGGTACAAAAACAATGAATACTGTTATGCTGAAAAAAAATTTTAAAAATGATTAAAAAAAAAACAGTGATTCCTGATGCAGGCAGAAACACGACTGTATCCTCAAGGACTCATTCTGGGGCAAAGATTCCCCACAAAGAAAATATATAGAGTACAATGACCCATTTATGAATTCTACAAAATTAAAACTAGTATAAGGTGATATGAGAAAGAACAATAGTTATGTGGGGACAGGATAAACAATGGAAAGGGAAGGAGGAATTCCAGGAGTAATGCTGAAACTTTTAGAGAGAACTGGTACACTCACTGTCAATAATGTTGACTGCAACACCTGTGTTTATCATATCACACACTCCGTATGTGTGCTGTTCATCTTGTGTCAAATATACACATCAAATTTATTATAGGTAATAACAAATGTGATTCTGGAGGAAAGCAGAGATAATGGAATGTTACAGATATGAAAATACACCTACACGATACTGATTTACTCTGCATTTATGGTAAACTATAAAATAAGGAAAATCAATCCATCCCCATTAGAGGAGGGGTTCCACATTCCGCATAGCCTGACACTCTGTCCTGCAGATGATTCGGGGTGGAGGGCAGCAGCTCCTGTGGGGGTAGCACTGACCAAGATCCTGGGGTCAATCTCACCCCATATGTGTTCATGGACACCTTACAAACCCAAGTATACACACTGGAAATTTATATAATGAAAAACTTTTTTTTCTTCAAAATCTGTCATTAGCACTAACTAGATTAAAGGCATTCCAACAGCTTGGGTCACTGCCTCTCTGTAAGAATAGATCCCCAAGCTGAATATATAGCCTGAGGACATGCAAATAGGGCATTCCCTCTGCTGATTTAACCAGCGCAGCCAAGATCCTGCAGCTGGGAGAGGAGCCCCAGGCCCGGGATACACAGGTGTTCATTCAGTGATGAGGACAGAATACAGACAACTTACCATGGAATTTGTGCTGGGTTGGGTTTTCCTTGTTGCTCTTTTATTTATTTATTTTTTATTTCTTTATCTGACAGAGAGAGAAATCACAAGTAGGCAGAGAGACAGACAGAGGTGGGGGCGGGGGGGAAGCAGGCTCCCTGCCCAGCAGAGAGCCCGATGTGGGATTCGATCCCAGGACCCTGGGATCATGACCTGAGCTGAAGGCAGAGGCTTAACCCACTGAGCCACCCAGGTGCCCCCCCCCTTGTTGCTCTTTTAAAAGGTAATTTATGGAGAAAAAAATTGAGTATGTGAGTGGATATGAGTGAGAGAAACACTGGATGTGAGACAGTTTCCTGACTGAGATATCCTGTGTCTGCAGGTGTCCAGTGTGAGGTGCAGCTAGTGGAGTCAGGGGGAGACCTGGTGAAGCCTGGAGCATCCCTGAGACTCTTCTGTGCAGCCTCTGGATTCACCTTCAGTAGCTACAAAATGAACTGGTTCCGCCAAGTTCCAGGGAAGGGCCTGCAGTGGGTCGCATGGATTAGATATGATGGAAGTAGCACAAGCTACACAGACTCTGTGAAGGGTCGATTCACTATCTCCAGAGACAAAAGCAAGAACACGCTGTATCTGCAGATGAACAGCCTGAGAGCAGAGGACACAGCCTGAATTACTGTGTGAAAGACACAGTGAGGGGTCCTCAGTGTGAGCCAGGACAGAAACCTCCCTGTTGACACAGGATGTGCTGAGCTGCAGGGACACTCAGGGCAGCAGAGAGTTCTCAGGATCCACAGCAGAGATCAGACCCAGGAGCAGGTGCAGTGGAGTTGGGCTTCTTTGAGATCAGGGATTTCCTCTCTAGACTCTCAGCTGTCCACAGGGATATTTAATTATTTTTCTTCGATTTGTAATGCCACGTCTTCTCCATGAAGCCAACCACAAGAATATAACTTTGCCTATGAATTACCAATTACCAATGAATTACAAATACCTCCACATATGTCATCTGAACCTTATAGAGTCCCAGCTACTCTCTCTGTTCATTAGAGGACCACCCAGCCCAGTGTGCAAACTTGTCAAAACCATTGTAAAGTGCGTGCTGGATATGAGCCTACAGAGGCATCAACAATGCCAAGCAAGAGAATTAACAGCCCTGGTACAGTCTCAATCTTGAACTATACTCAGAGTATCAATGTTAATGACAACGTGGGAAAGAAGAGGAAATGTGCACCAGGATGTTGTGGGGGTACAGAATGTGAAGATCACAAACACACACACAAACACACCCCAAAGTGACTATAAAACTCCTTTAAATTTTATTTTTTCAGAGTTCCAAGATTCATTGTTTATGCACCACGCCCAGTGCTCCATACAGTGCATGCCCTCCTTAACACTGACCACCAGACTCATCCATCCCCGCACCCATTCCCTTCCAAAATACTCAGTTTATTTCTCAGAGTACACATATTCTCAGGATTCTCTCTTTGATTTAGCCCAATTCACATTTCCTTTCCTTCTCCAAATGTCATCTGTGTTATTCCTAATGTTCCACAAGTAAGTGAAACCACATGGTAATTGACTCTCTCTGCTTGACTTATTTCACTCAGCATCATCTCCTCCAGTCCCGTCCATGTTGTTACAAAAGTTGGGTATTCATCCTTTCTGATGGAAGCATAATACTCCATTGTATATATGGACCATATCTTCTTTATCTATTCAGCCATTGAAGGGCATCTTGGCGCTTTCCACAGTTCGTTTATTGTGGACATTCCTGTTATGAATACTGGGGTACAAATGGCCCTTCTTTTGCTACATCTGTATCTTTGGGGTTAATACCCAGTATTGCAATTACAGGGTCATAGGGTAGCTCTATTTTTCATTTCTTGAGGAATCTCCACACTGTTTTCCAAAGTGGCTGCACCAACTTGCATTCCCACCAACAGTGTAAGAGGGTTCCCCTTTCTCCACATCCTCTCCAAAACATGTTGTTTCCTGTCTTGTTAATTTTGGCCATTCTAACCAGTATAAGGTGGTATCTCAATGTGGTTCTCGTTTGAATCTCCCCGATAGCTAATGAGGATGAACATTTTTCATGTGTCTAATAGCCATTTGTATGTTTTCTTTGGGGAAGTGTCTCTACCTGTCTTCTGCCCATTTTTTTTTTAATGATTATCTGTTTTGGGGGTATTGAGTTTGAGTAGTTCTTTATAGATCTTGGGTATAAACTTTTTTTCTTTTATGTATTTTGTGAATATCTTCTCCAATTCTGTGGTTTCCCTCTTTGTTTTGTTGACTGTTTTCCTTACTGTGCAGAAGCTTTTGATCTTGATGAAGTCCCAAAAGTTCATTTTCGCTTTTGTTTCCTTTGCTTTTGGAGACATTGTGAAAGGAGTTGCTGTGCCCAATGTCAAAGAGGTTACTGCCCATGTTCTCCTCTAGGATTTTGATAGATTCCTGCACACATTGACGTCTTTTATCCGTTCTGAGCTTATCTATGTGTATGGTGTAAGAGAATGGTTGAGTTTCATTCTTCTACACATAGCTGTCCAATTTTCCCAGCACCATTTATTGTAGAGACTGTCTTTTTTCCACTATATATTTTTTCCTGTTTTGTCAAAGATTATTTGACCATAGAGTTGAGGGTCCATATCTGGGCTCTCTACTCTGTTCCACTGGTCTATGTGTCTGTTTTTGTGCCAGTCTCATGTTGTCTTGGTGATGACAGCTTTGTAGTAAAGCTTGAAATCAGGCAACGTGATGCTCCCAGCTTTGTTTTCCTTTTCCAACATTTCCTTTTTGATTCAGGATCTTTTATGTTTCTATGTAAATTTTCGGATTATTATTTCCATCACTTTGAAAAATGTTGATGGTATTTAGATCAGGATGGCATTGAAAGTATAAGTTGCTCTTGACTGCATATTATGACATAGATATATTATATGACATAGATATATTAATGATATTTATCCTTCTGAACCATGAGCATGAAATGTTTTTCTATCTTTTTATGTCTTCTCCAATTTCTTTCATAAGTGTTCTGTAGTTCCTTGAGTACAGATCCTTTACCTCTTTTGTTAGGTTATACCAACGTATCTTATGATCTTTGGTGCTACTGTAAATGGAATTGATTCTCTAATTTCTTTTTCCACGGGTTCATTTATAAAAAAGCAACTGATTTCTGTGTATTGAGTTTGTATCCAGCTACATTACTGAATTGTTCTATGAGCTCTAGCAGTTTGGGGGTGGAGTCTTTTGGGTTTTCCACATAAAGTATCATGTCATCTGCAAAAAGAGAGAGCTTAACTCTTTGACCATATATTTATTTCTTTTTGTTGCCTGATCACTGTTGCTAGACTTCCAGTACTATGTTGAACAGTAGTGGTGAGAGAGGGCAACCTTGTCATGTTCCTGATCTTAAGGGGAAAGTTCTCAGCTTTTCCCCACTGAGGTGACATTTGCTGTGGGTTTTTCATAGATGGAATTTATGAAATTGAAGAACATTCCCTCTATCCCTACACTCTAAAGAGTTTTAGTCAGTTTTAGTCAGGAAAGGATGCTGTATTTTACAGCCTGCTATTTCTGCATCAATTGACAGGGAGCATGTAGTTTTTCTCTCCTCTCTTACTAATTTTTTCTATCACATTGGCTGATTTGCAAGTGTCGAATGGATCTTGCAAAGCTCAGAGAAAATCCCACCTGGTTGTCATGGATAATCCTTTTTTTTTTTAAGATTTTATTTATTTATTTGACAGACAGAGATCACAAGTAGGCAGAGAGGCAGACAGATAGAAAGAGAGGTGGAAGCAGGCTCCCTGCAGAGCAGAGAGCCCGATGTGGGACTCGATCCAGGACACTGGGACCATGATCTGAGCCGAAGGCAGAGGCTTTAACCCACTGAGCCACCCAGGTGCCCCATGGATAATCCTTTTAATGTACTATTGTATGTTACTAGCTAGGATCTTGTTGAGAATCTTGGCATCTATATTCATTAGGGATATTGATCTGAAATTCCCCCTTTATGGGGTCTTTGCCTGGTTTTGGACTCAAGGTAATGCTGGCCTCATAGAATGAGTCTGGAATTTTTCATCTGTTTCTATTTTTTGTAAATATTCAGGAGAATAGGTATTATTTCTTCTTTGAATATTTGGTAGAATTCCCCACAGAAAACAGCATGTCCTGGACTCCTATTTTTGGGAGGTTTATGATCATTGCTGCAATCTTGTTACTGGTTATTGATCTATTCATGTTGTCAATTTCTTCCTGCTTCAGTCTTGGAATTTTATAGGTTGCAGGAATGCAACCATTTCTTCTAGGTTGCTTAACTTATTGACATATAGCTGATGATAATAATTTCTGATGATTGTTTCTATTTCCTTTGTGTTACTCATTATCTCTCCCCTTTCATTCATAATGTAATAATTTGGGTCTTTCTCTTTTCCTTTGGATAAGTCTGGCCAGTGTTTTATTTATCTTATTAATTCTTTCAATGAACCAGCTTCTACTTTCTTTGATATGTTCTACTGTATTTCTGGTTTCCAGTTCATTGATCTCTGCTCTAATCTTAATTGTTCCCCTTCCAGTGCATAGGCTAGGCTTAAATTGTTGTTGATTCTCCAGTTCCTTAAGGTGTAAATGTAGTTGGTGTATTTACAATTTTTCTTTTCTTTTCTTTACTTTTCTTTTTCTTTCTTTATTTTTGGGGGTGAGGCTTAGATGGCTATGTATTTCCCCCTTAGGACCACCTTTGCCATGTCCCATAGGTTTTGGACTAATGTGTTTTCATTCTCATTGGTTTCCATGAATTGTTTAAGTTCTTCTTTGACTTCCTGGTTGATCCAAACATTCTTGAGTAGGACGGTCTTTAGCTTCCAAGATTTTGAATTCCTTACAAACTTTTTCTTGTGATTGAGCTCCTTTTAAAGCATTATGGTCTGAGAATATTCAGGGAGTGATCTCAGTCTTTTGGTATACGTTGAGACCTGAACTGTGACCCAGGATGTGGTCTATTCTGGAGAAAAATCCATGAGTGCTTGAGAAAAATGAATATTCTGTTGTTTTGGGGTGGAATGTTCTGTATATATCTATAAGGTCCAAAAGGTCTAATGGGTCATTCAAAGCTCTTGTTTGTTGATTTTCTGCTTAGATGATGAGTCTTTTGTTGATACTGGGGTGTTGAAGTCTCCTACAATTAGGGTATTACTAACAATATGTCTTTTTGTTGTTGTTAACAGTTGGCTTATGTTGTTGACTGTTCCCGTGTTGGGGGTATAGATATTTACAATCGTTAGATCTTCTTGGTGGATAGACACTTTTAGCACAATGTAGTGTCCCTCTGCATCTCTTATTGCAGTCTAGCTTAAAATCTAATTCGTCTGATATGAGAAGGGCTACCCCAGCTTTCTTTGCAGTCATTGTCATGAAAGATGGCTCTCCGCCCCTTCACTTTCAGTCTGGATGTATGTTTAGGCTCAGAATGAGTCTCTTGTAGACAGCATGTGGATGGGTCCCATCTTCTTATCCAATCTGCAACCCTGTGCCATTTTATGGGAGCATTTAGGATGTTCATGTTGAGAATGATTATTGAAATATGATTTTATTGTCATCATGTTGCTTGTGAAGACCTTTTATCCAGATTGTCTCTGTAAATTTCTGTTCTATAACACTCTTGG